TACATTTTGATGTATTTTGATTGGCTTAGACATTTCGGTAATTTGACGCTCAAATATACGGAATGGTCATGCGATTTCGTATATTTGAGCCAAATTCCGAGCGGAATTTGGCCTTCACGAAGTTCGTAGCTGTGAGTAACCCGAAGTTTGATTTCGGTAATTTCAAATTACGGGTTTGCTAAATGTCTCTATTGTTTGACGTAGTCTGCTTGGATGCAAATGCGACCGATGTCCTCCATGCTGTAACTTGTCGTCGTAGCATCACCACGCAACGAACGGGCTCCATGCACAGAGCGCGTCGCTTCTTGCCGTGTGTTGCAACCACTTCGTCGTGGTCGAGAATGGGAACGCTGGAAATGCAGATGGGGGGACCCTCGAGACCGACGGAGGGGCCGACGTGGGGCACGGTGGTGGGGTTGTGTGCGATGTGAAACTCCGCCACAGTTTTGGTGGTTGCAAACGATACGTGTTTCTTGGTCATGGTTGTGTGATTGAATAGTGTGCAAATTGAAAACTAAGCCACATGATTGTTAACTAGTAACAACCGAAAGTGGACGGTAGTTGATTGGGATGCCATAGAACAGGCGTGAAATTTTTGGCGAAAGGAGATATATTTCGCCAAATATTGGTAAACAACGTTAAATAAAACTCGTTTTTAATCCCGTAGAGTACGTGTATAAGGAGCACGAATTTACGTTGTCAAGCGTCATGGTAATTTACAGCACTCCACATATACCTGTAGTATGCGTTATACTGCGCCTCTCAACCCTCGTTCGACCTTCCAACATGTTCAAGTAGAAACGTACAGATAGTTGGTGCTCGTCAAAATTTGAAACACTCTAAAGCGCTTTTTTGGCCTGTGTTGCTTGGGTTTATGTGATCACCATACTGGGAGCGCAAGAAACTACGTCGAAATAGTCTCGCTGTGACAGTCGGCCCTGTGTCGAAGGCTACAGCCATGAGGCACGCGACGTAGCTTTTCAGGGTACCCTTTATATTGATTGGCCTGGTGGTAGCCATTGCCAACGATCACAAACTTCTGATTTGTCACACTCGCCACGCAATTGGTAGTACTTCAAATATCGTGTCTGCGAGAAAGTCTGGATATCCCGTCACTTTGGTGCCACAAAACCACAGCACAACATCGGAAGTAGGCCCCCCTTTGCCCATTCTGATCCCCTAAGAGGAACATTTCATACTTGAGATGAAAGGCCAAATAGCAACACAATTGCAATAGGAGCGCCGATGTTCCCACGCCGCGGAGGGGAATCAAAACGTTGGTCTTGTTCAAATGGTTTTGTCCGATGTGGTAGTAGTCGTACAGGATACTCCACATCATCGTCATTTTTTGCGCACAAACAACGAGGATGCGAACATAGTGTTGGAAGGTACCAGAAAGCTCTGTGGTGCACAGGACTGTGCCTTCTGCCGTGCTTACGAGGTCGACCGCTGCGTTTGGAGGCAAGATAAACACTTCCGTTTCAATCGAATGCAATGTCTTGGCTTTCTTGGACAAAGTAATTCATCCTATGATACTACGTCGGACGGGTACAACCACCAGCACTTGGATATGTCCCCCCTTCTGTCGTAACGTTAACGTTACGTTGGGGAACTGACATCGCCAATATCACACGAGGAGATTAATATTGGTTTCTTGCTGAGGACCCCTTGCACCACATCGATCGTCTCGCCCGATTTCAAGGCTTTGACATCACTTCTCGCTTCTAGTGCGGGATGTTTCCATCGTTGTACCCTTTCAGCCTTGTCAATCTCAATTGCCAAAGAAGTCGGTGCCGTTGTTCACCAACCAGCATGCCCCCCAGTCGCACCAGGTTTCTGTGTCGTCCGAATTCGGAACTGAGCCACAACTGTCGTGAACAGTGCTATTCGATACAATTTCTGCTTCACAGAGCAATAATGAGCAATAATGAATTCCCAACTACTGTAGTACGTCGTAGTACAACTAACGTAAATGGCCAGTTTATGGTGCACGGGACAGTTTAAGGTGCACTCAAATTGGCGAATATAATAGCTTGAGTTTTGGAATAGCCAATCGAATCACTAGAAAAATGAAATCACCAAAACATAAGCAAAACCCGGCTTAAACCATGCACCATAAAGCATAAACCGCCCCTCCTATTTTGCCTTGACGTGAGTGGAAAGCTGAAGTCTATGCAAGCCGATCAGAATAATGCCCAACCTTCCGGCTTCAGAATTGAAATCTCGGTCCTGAGAGACGAGTAAGCTGCATTCTACGACGAGATCTCTGTCAAGTGCACCAAAATTGACGAACTACATTTAACGTGCATGCATTATTATTGATGAACTGTACGGTACGGCACACGTACTTTAACGTTCGGCACTATAAAACACAGGGCAAGAACGAATTCCGAACAACTACTATACGTATACTGTACAGTCCTGTACAACTGGCAGCTGGACTGAACAGTAAGGGGTATCTTTATCGGAGCTTGCCCATCTCAGCTCCAAGCTGTTAACTTCCTGTGAATCGGCCCTAATAAATGATCTATTGATACTAGTACTACGATTAATTATACTTCGTAGTATTATTCTACGTACTACTATTAATATAAATTATACTTCGTACTTCGAAGTAGTAGTACTGTACGTAGTAATAAATGAACTATTGATACTAGTACTACTATTATTAATAATTATACTTCTAGTACTACTATTATTAATAATTATACTTCTTAGTACGTATGTAGTAATAACTTCTACCGGAACGTAGCACACTGTAGTATGTACTCCGAGTAGTTAACCATTTTGAAGCAGTTGCTTTGTGGCTTCACGCTACATATACAAGCCACAAAATGTTGTCGAGTCAATTGAGCCAGCAAAACCAAACGAACGTTATCAACAAAGTGAATTGTGCAATTTCGTTTCCGACATCCTTATTTCAACACACAAAGGTAGGTAGTTTGCGTTAACGGCCATTTTGATTATTCCCTCACAGCTCCGTGCCACTTGACATTTCGTCTTGGGTTGTGAGGGAATCCATGGCGCCGAAAAAGTCCCAAAAGTCGTCGTCGAGCAACTTTAACGAATCCACGTCCGCCAGCACGCCACCTACCAAAAAACGCGATTAAGTAATACTAAACTACTAGTAGTAGTAGTACTACTACTACTAGCGACATTCGTTAGTTTGGTGACTGACCATGGTGGCACATGATGGAGTTGTCGACGACGTAATCGACGTGGTCGTTGTGACGCACCGCCAAATGGCCACAGCCGGGGCCGTGGGGCTGCGGGGCCGACCTACATGCAGAAACCTTTGTGAGCATTCATCATCTCCAGGTCAACGTGTCCGGACGTGCGTACCCTGGGAGAATGCGCCGCGTGGGCGCGACTGAGAGCGACTTGACGCCTTGCAGACACACGAGCTGATTGTTTACGATAAAGTCCAAGTGGTTTCCATGTTCGATGCTCAAGTGTCCGCACCCGCGGCCGTGCGCAGCGTGGGTTGCGAGGTCCCCAGGACATGGGAAGGTTGCTTCCCGCGGCTGCAGCGGTCGCTTGGACGCGGTGGGATGGCTCGCGCAGTGCGTCATTTCGTGCTTTTTCAAGTCCACGCGGCGGGTGTACTGTTTGTCGCACATGGGGAACGGACACGCGAACCGCTTCTCCCCTCGATGCGTGCGTTCGTGGCTGCGCAGGTCCGAGATGCGCGCAAACTGCTTGCCGCATTCTTCGCACGGATACGGCTTCTCGCCTGTGTGGACGCGCATGTGGACCTGCATGTCAGCCTTTCGCGCAAACGACTTGGGACAGTGCTCGCACTGGAACGGCTTCAACCCGACATGCGCCGTGATTTGGTGGCGCTTGAGGTTACCCTTGAACCGAAACGTCTGGGCGCAGATATCGCACACAAACTTATCCACCGCATGCTCCGCCGAGGAGCTGCCGCCTTCGTCGCGCACGGGAATGCTCATGACAAGGAATGGTTGCCGCTGCTTGTCTGACTGCCGCTGACCTCTTCGAGACAAGGCTCACACACTCGTCCACGATTGGTGCATTTGCCCGCCGTCGGAAAACGATGCGCCTTACAAACACCAAGTCAAGGATGGGGTGCCGAAATCATAGAGCCTAATTGAAGGGCCAAAAATGCCTAATTGGGTCATTGGAGGCTCGCATCCAGAAAGGACATGGACACTACTACTACTAGTACTATTAATAGTATGGTGCAAGTGTACTATTGATACATGTACAGTATTATACATGTAGTAGACGTGCATCCAGTTGGAAGTTATAGTAGTACTACTGTCGTACTACTAGAATACTGGTAGTGGTCAACTGGGATATATGAGGAGGTTTTACTATAGAACGCTTTTGTATTGTGAGTTAAACCTAAACAATGACCACGTTAAACCTCTATTTGTGCGTTTTATTTCTGTGTGGTCCGAAATTCGTCCCGAATCAACGGTACGTAGTACAGTACTAGTACTTCGAAGTACTACTTACTGTCACGGATACTATAGTATTGACAGAATTACACATGTACTACTTATTCGAAGTACTACTATACTAGCAGCTCCAGATGGGCTGAAATACAGTATATACAGACTATATACAGTGTAGTATTGTACCTGTATCCTTGGTCTGTAAGAGCCACTTCAAAACTGGATTAACCTATATCGTAAAAGTCCAATTTAGGAACACTTTTTCCAATATACTGCCGTGGAAGGCATGTAACTTGACTACAGGGAATGACGTACGTAGGTATCGGATTATAATTCTATAATATGGTGCATGAAGCCAACATCCACGTCTATTCGGGAGTTATGAACGAGATATGTTTTCTGTTATAATTCATTATCATTCACACCGCTTTGTCCACAAACAGCTTACTGTTTACAGTGGCTGAGAGCATCCACGACCCTTTTTGTATTTGAGGTTCTAAGAAAAAATATATGAAATTCAGTAGGCATACGCAGTTTTCCTCCGTGAATTCAATTCTGCCATTAAAATACTTTGATTCACTTTATTTTTCGAGTAATGGTCGAAATACCTTTTGAAATGTCGCATGAAAAACTCGCATAACATTATAGATTGTAATCTTGACACAATTATTTAAAATGGTCAAATTCAATACAGAACTTAAGTGTAAAAGACTGCTTCATTAAAATGAAAACTGTAAGAACATATTAATATTTTTAATAAGGTCTCGACCAGCACATTTTACCATTTTAAGCATAGTCTTTGTATACCCATTTGCACATTTTTTGGGAGGTTAGGTTAACTGCCTTTCTAGGAATTGATTGGCTAATTCGCGTGCACCTTAAATTGGACTTTTACGTACTACTGTACAGTAGCGTGGATTTGTGCTTCGATTATTCAGCGGCGAGATTCGATGTTACTACGGGAATTTGTATCGAATCCACGATATCATTTTGACACGAAATTTCGACTAACGTTACCAGTACGACACTTTCAGTGTCAGGTCGATATCAGCAACTCGAAGGCAATTGGCAAGTTCATGTACTACAACTACCGTACAAACAGTGCAGTACAGCTAGCTACGTAACTCTGAGCCGTGTTATCTATCATAAATACAACCAGCACCACTCTATTTAGACGGACAAAATCCATCGCAAACATTGGTTTGGTATCGAGTCGGCCTTGGATTGGTTGTTTCTTGCGTTTCTGGCAGTTAAAAATCGGACCACGTCGTCGTGGTGCCGCTGGCATGCGGACATCAATGCGTTGGTCGTGCACCCTTCGGACCTGTGGCGATGCAGAAACTTCACAACTTCCAAATGTCCATTCTTCGCGGCGTAATCCATCGCGTGGGTTGTCGCGCCCTCGGTGCGATGGGCGTGTAGAAATTGCACAATGTTCAAATGTCCATTGTGGGCCGCCATGTCCATTGCCAGCGTGCTGCAATGCCATTCGTTGGTGTGTAAAAATGTCACAATATTCAAGTGTCCATGCATCGCGGCGGCATTCATCGCGTCCTGGGTGGGCTCAGCGTAGAACGGAAGCAAAAACTGCACTACATGCAAATGTCCGAGGGTCGATGCCGACACAATCGCACTGATGGACAGCGCGGGAGAAGGATGAGCGGCGGCCAACCACTGGATCATGTCGAGGTATCCGTGTCCCGCGGCCCAGTCAAATGCGCGACTACTCACAGACAGATGCGACAGCGCGGCAAGAACATGCAGTTGACGTGCGGCGGACGCGATGTCCAAAACGTCGCTGGTGGAAGCAAGCACACACGGGGACAGAGAACGAAGCACAGCAAGGTTCCCGCTCCATGCAGCATGTTGGCAGATCCATCCAGACGCCCAATGCGGGAATCGAACGAGAAGATGTGAGTGCAACCGATGCAGTCCGTACGCGCGGTACCAGGGCCCTAACAGGCGGTCTAATTGTCGGAGGTCCGCCGCGGCGATGTCGAATGAAGGCGCGACGAGGTGCAGTCGTGGATGGTTGATGTTCCACGCATGGAAGGGCAGCAAGTCGGCCGCGAGTCCATCTTGGAAGACCAAGATCATGTCAAGGAGGTCTATTGTGGTGAGTACTTTTGCCGCCGCCATCGCTGCTACGTTGGCAGATTCGACAATGACCGACGGAGCTCATGGGATTTGTTCAGAGTTTTCGAACTCAGGTTTATGCAATTTCACAATTGTAGTATCCAAAATACTCACGTTTAGTGAATTCGCTTCCATACAAGGTGGCGTCAAATGTTATTTGGGTCACCCAATACATCAACCCGCACACGCTTTCGACCAATCAGAAGCGACGGTTTGTCCTCGTCTACGGTCAATAAGCCGGATAAAGAATCCGGATACGTGGAATGGATATCCGGATACCCTCCCGACCAATTTCGTCCCCTGGATCCCGTGGCCAAGATGGATCTGCTCGCAGCGTATGCGTCGAGCGACGACGAAGCGGCACCGAGGACGTCCACGAGTCTGACGGTGGTCAATTCGACGCCAGATGTTATTGTGCCCTTGCGGAAGACGGAGCTCCTAGCAGCGAATGCGAAGGTGTTGGCACTGAACCAACCCATTTCCATGACGTCGGCCCGAGTACTGGGGCCGTTGAATCCATTTCAGCGGCACGCACCGGTGCAAGTTGGCGCCGGTCGCGAGATTGTGACAGGCGTGGTGGAAACGACGGAGATGGAGGACTTTTGTTTCGACGAGGAGTACCACCAACAGCAGTTTCGCCATTCCGGCCCGCCGCAACCCAAGCGACCCAAGGTCAAGGCCACGACATACGACAAGGACGTAGGGACAGAGTCCGAGCACGGCATCTGGGCCCCTGTTGCGAAGGAGAACTTGTTCTGGGTCCCGTCAGACAAAGAAAGGGGTACCATGACCGACGCGCAAAAGGTGCGACCTCTTCCCCTCCGCGTACAACCTCATCATGCAACACAATGCTAGGAACTGTTGGCCGAGAATGAACGGAAGAAGGCATCCCGCAACCGAGAAGAGGAAGCAGACATTGACTTTGACCGCATGATTGAACGCAAGGTCGCGCACTTGCTGCCGCCCCGCCTTGCCGCCGGCGCCACCGCCATCGAACCAAAGTACGTACATATATATATATATGTGTGCTCGATGTATGGAAATAATTTATTTCAATACTTGAAATGTATCCTTGATTCGAGATATTATATAAGATATTCACGTGTATTTTTATATATCGTTAATGCATGATATTTTAGAGATTAGTTTTAACATTAAATCGAAGTGATATCATATGATATATAAATGTTGCAATTTGATTGGTCCAAATGATGCATTGTGCGTGTTTTCATTGGTCGATGCCCTACAAATTCATAAAGACTCATCAGTCATCGACTCGACTACAACTATGTGTCATATGGTGGTTTCTTGTGATTGGATTGGCCAAAATAAGCACCCAAACAATGAGTGTTTTCATTCGTCGATCAGAAAAATATATATTTATATATATACTATTGATATATATTATATAATTGATATAGTATTGATAAATATAATATATCATATAATTGATATAAAATTGATCGACGAATGAAAACACTCGACACGCATCATTGTTTAGGTGGTTTGGCAAATATATATATATATATATATCATGGACACGAGAAATAAATACATATATTCCAAACGCGCACAAACACACTCATACACAACAATCCACTAGAACGGCGTACCTGGGCGAGAACGAGTTTGATTACCAGGGGCGGTCGTGGGTGGACCAGTACCCTCGGGAATTAAAGCCTGGCCTCGATCACAAAGTATTTTTGCCCAAAAAGCCAATATTCCAGTTCGAAGGCCATACAAAGGGTGTCCAAGCGATTGAGCTCATCCCCAAGTATGGCCATCTCTGTCTGAGCGCCAGCTTGGATGGTACTGTGCGTATATGGGACATGAACAACGACCACCAGTGCAAACGCATCTACCAAGGCCACAAGGACGCCGTTCGCGCCATCAATTTTGCTCCAGATGGCGCGACCTTCCTCACGGCCAGCTTTGATCGGTACATGCGACTGTGGGACACGGAAACTGGACAAGTGAAACATACGTTTACGAATCGACGGGTGCCATATTGTGTCAAGGTATGGATATATATATATATATATTGGAGATGTGTCGATTGGGAATCGCAATGCAATGTATATGTTGTTTCTAGATATGTATATATATATATATATGTTGTTTCTAGATATATATATATATATATAGTCGAGACGACGAGGATGGAGTTTGTCGAGATGATAACCATGTATATGTAAATATGTATTTGAGACGATGATGGAATTGTCTAGATAGTCTACATTTATATATATATATATGAGACGATGATGGAGTTGTCTGGATTCTTTTTCCTATTATTTTGAAATGGAGTTGTCTAGATTATATATTAGAAAATGTGCCTGGATTCGGTTTTGGCGAAATCTATTCGTGGGATGTTTATATGGGAGGTGGTGTAAATTGACCATGTTAATCGGTCGGAACGATATGTGTTTACAGTGACCATATTAACATGGCCATATATATATTCTTTGTTGTATTTTTCGTTAATGTTGACTAATTTGTAAAATATTTTGATTAATTTATAATAGACGGTTGTTGTCATGTGTAGTTTCATCCGGACGAAAGCAACCAGTTTGTGATTGGGGACTCGAACCACATGATTGTCCAATTTGACGTGCGCAGTGGGGGTAAGTACTCGTAATACTCGTCATATAGCTGAAAACAGATAAATATAGGAGCTCATATATATATATATATTGGAACTGTAGAAATCGTCCAAGAGTACAACCACCATTTGCAAACTGTGAATGCCGTCACGTTTGTCGACGACAACCGACGGTACTGACTATATATATATATATATATATAGTATTGTCCAATTCAGCTCAATATTATGCTGGACTTGTGATAAATCGAATTCTAGTCCTGTATATGTTGTATACATACACTTCGTTATGCCGCGAGGATCTCCATCACACACTAATTTATGTCATACGCAACACACACTATAATTTACTGATAATTTGGCGTGCCTTCATTTGCTATGTTTACATTATGGTCGTTGTTGCGTACTTGTTGAGTAGTGATTGGTTCACTTGGCTGCAACCTGTATATAGCAGCAGTTCAGCCCAGTATGCGGCTACTCTATCGCAGATTTACTTACCCTGTCTAATATAACAACCATCCTTCAAGGCCCTAACATTGTGTATATATAGATTTGTGTCGACATCAGACGACAAGAAGATCTTGATTTGGGAGTGGGGCATCCCCGTGCCCATTAAGTACGTGTCTGAGCCAGGCATGCACTCGATGCCGTCGACGACTTTGCACCCGAGCGGGTCGTACTTTGCTGGCCAGTGCCTCAGCAACCAGATCGACGTGTACACAGCACGCGATAAGTTCAAGCTGCAGCGGAAGAAGACATTCCGAGGCCATTCGTGCTCGGGGTACGACTGTTTTAGTAGTGTGTGGGGAGGATATGGCAGCATTTCATATTTTATTTATAGACGGAGATAACTCTCCCTACGACTGCTGGATTCAGATATTCATGCCTAGATATTCAGAGTGTTGTTCGAATTGGAGTACACTTTATTTTTATCATGGAAATTTGGATTGGATATATATATTTGGTTGTAAATCGATTTTTCTTTGAATATGGGGTCAAAATACATGATTCATGGGTTTAGGATTGTTTTTCATTGGAGATATATATGTATGTATTCATTTAATTGTTTGAATATTGGTAAACTATATTCATGGGTTTTAGTTTTTTTCCATTATATTTGTGGTTTTTTTCATTATATTTGTTGTGGCAGGTACGCGTGCCAAGTGAACTTTTCACCGAATGGCCAGTACGTGGTGAGTGGCGATGGCGAAGGCCACGTGGCGTTCTGGGACTGGAAAACCACCAAAATGTACAAGAAAATGAAAGGTAAATATATATATATCATATTTGATGCAATATATGAATAATATGTTTGTGTAGCGCACAATGGACCGACCATGGGTGTGGCGTGGCACCCGATTGAACCATCGCGAGTGGTCACATGTGGGTGGGATGGATTGATCAAATGCTGGGATTAATCCCTAGATCGATACAAAAATCCCTACTCTGACATTACCAGGCCCTGAAGACCCTTCTTTAACCGAATCGACAATATCGCTTTTTTAATAATACTTGCACTCACTTTATCCCCCAGGGTATAAAGGGTCCGTGTGGTAACGTGAAATATATTAGAGTATTCTAGCCGAAAACGCCATTTTTGGGCCAAATTCAATAAATCGGATAAGAATTGAAGCATGACTTGCTTGAAGAGTTTAGACCCGAAGGGTTTACTGTAATCTGAATTTTGAAATGATGTACCATAACACACCCAAAGTATACTTGTGACATGGCACGAAGAACTAAGTTGATTCAAAAATCGATCGACCAATCAAAACACAAAACATGAATCAACTAGCCAATCAAATCATTTACTGTTCAATAATTCAACATTGAATTAGTGTGTGATCGAAATTAGTGTGACATGGACGATCTTTACATGCAAAAGTCAGTACAAAGAATCGATCGATTGATTTGGCAAAGAATCAGCACAAAAGTCCAAATATTGGGTAAACGGACAATAACTACACTGTATACAGTTACATAGCGGCAGTGGAGCGGTATTATTCATAGTGCTCCGAGTATTAGTAGTACACTAACTGTAAGCTTACAGAAGTCCAAATGTGCTTTTGACCACATTTGGACTTCTGATTGGTCCAATTTAAGCTTGTACAAACTAAACCATACAATGTTCAGGTTTCGAGGAATCAGTAGTTTGGATTGGCAGAAAAAGCAGAACAATGTGATTTGATTGGTTTATAAACTTCGTGTTCATTCGATTAATTAGACCTCTGACCAAATTAGACCAATGACAGGCAGTACTAACAGACCTTTGGAACTTAATACAGTTCGAGTTCGACAAAGAATACGTTGCTGCAGGTTGAAGGATACTATTGATTGTCGCGCCATGACATTTCGACCATTATCGAAAAGTACGACCAGTGGCCATATGAAGCACATTGTGGAAGAAAAGGCTGGACTCACAGCCAACCTTCCGGACTTGGAGCCACAAAAGGCCGTGTACATTGAGGACAAGTGGAGTTGGAGCAGCTACGTTTACGACCCCCTCGCTCGAAAGCGACTGATTCTCGGCTCCATCGGGTGCTTTTTGCTGCTGCTTTCGTTTTACTTTGGGTATGTTGACCATAGTTTGCTTGTGATAACATCGTAAAACCACCATCACATACCAGGTACAAGGCGGGAACGACGGCCCCGGGCGTCCAAACCCTGAGCACACCGCAAGATTTGATCCCAAACATCCTCACCAATGATACGACGCTGGTGCGTGTGAAAATTCCTCGCAAACACAAAACCCCCCACAATTAGTACACAAGTGTATTTTTAAGAATATCCTCATGTTGGTATACTACAGTTAATAGTATACGTATGTTGGGTCACTCCAAACCTTCGTAATACTAATACAGTATTTAATACTATTAATAGTTGGAAACTGTATCTGAAAATTGGCCACCATATGTATTACGTAGTGTAAACGAAGAACTGGAACAATTTATATATATATTAATAAACTAGATATAGCGACGACGGAATACGCCACACTATAATCGTCACATCGAGGCCATATTTTTTGGTTCGCATTGAACCGATACGTACGATATACTAACTAGTAGTACTGATCTCCCCCCTTAAACGAAACGGGGTAAACTTGATAATTTTTGAAACTTTATATTATCCAACCATATCGGAAGGTGATGACTTTTTCAAAATTCGAACACTTGAATCGTTTGGCATTGAAATGGATGACATCATTTCCACTGTGAGAAACTGCTGGAGACGCACTGGCATACTCAGCTCTGACTTGGAGACGCCCAGCGCTTGAATGCATGTATAAATGGTTGGTTCAGACAGCCTGCAAATACCTGTAAGAGTTAATTTACTGTGTGAATTGCATAATTTGCTCCGTTTCGTTTAAGGGTGGAGATCAGTAGTATATATTACATGGACAAGACAGCCCTCCATATTTCGATGCACTCGCATATCGTCCACAACTTCTACTACATCATTATTACCCAAACACTTCTTGGTTGTATCGGCGCGTGGCAATGATCTCGTCCCACCACGCTACGCCCCGGTCTCGTTTCAAAATCGTCTGCACAGCTTGGGCCATGTCGATCTTGCCGCATATGTAAATGTACGCATTGGACGAGTCCAGTGCCGTCATGATGGCCGCGATGTGCTTTTCGACGACATCCTGGACGTACTGCTTGTCTTGGCCTTGCCGGGAGAACCCGACGTGGCACTCGACTTGCAACGGGCGTAAACTCTCGACTTCGGACCGATACAGCCAACTGTCGGCATCCCGACACCCGAAAAACAGGGTAGTCGGCCCAACAGCCACGCCCGATTTCGCCACTTCGTTTCGTTCTTGCCAAATGGCTCGCATGGGCGCGATGCCTATTTGAGTTTTAGCGACATGCGTTTGAAAGGAAATTTATTATGCATTATACGATATATATACGTATTGGACCAACGGGTAGGAAAAGGAAGGATTGAACTTATACGGAAATCAATTCGATTTGGCAGCGCGATTTATATATATATATATTCAACCAACGGGTTGGATCTATAACTACTGTTAACTATATATCCCATCAACGATATACATATATTACAAATGGACACACGAAACGACATCGCGATATAGTGGGCCTTTTTGAAAATTGAGCGATCAATCATCAGTACCTGAGCCCGCGGCGATAAGTATGACTGGGAACTGGTGGGTTTTGGGGAAGTACATGGTGGGCGCTTGGCACAATCCTCGAAATCGGACTCCAGGATTGGACAGTTTAGCTGGCAAGAGCGACACCATGCAAGCGCCCATAGTGCCATGATGCTGGTCGAGCTGGGCGAGGGGTTTCTCGGGCACGGAGATGCAGCATTGAATGACATTTGGGCTCACCAGACGACTGGATGCGATGGTGTATTTTCTAGGCTTGATGGGGGCGACAATCGAAAGCAACTCTGGCAGCGACACTTGAATACTGGGAAATGCATGAAGGACCCCCAACAATGACACGCGCGGTTTTCGAATGGTTTGGGTGTACTCGTCTTCCGTCGCCCCTAGGTTGAGCGATATTAACATTTATATATATATATATGAATGACTGACTAGAACTACTCTTGAAAAGTTACAACAGGCAAATACATCAAGAACAAGAAGGTCAAGAATAAGGGACACTCGCTCCCTGCAGTTTGTGTCTCTATAAGGTCGAATTATTTTAAAAGTACAAACAACAAGCTCAAACTGAAGTGGTGAAACCCGATCCAAGCGAATGCCCAATAGTAACATACGAGCATGGCGGCAAAAATACATCGTCCATCCATACAGTCGGATACACAAAACTGTAGACGCACACCGCAACATGTTGGAGTTTACGATGAATATAAGTATACAATCGCTCTAACATATCCAACACGATCCATACCAACACTCTAGTCGCAAATTGAACTTCGACAATGTATTGGAAATAGTATCGCCATTAATAATAATCTCAAGTGAATACAGTAACTGTTAGTCGACGTACCCAATTGGCCAAGGCGGGCGGCGTCGGCAGCCTCTGTCGCGTACCGCGCGAGTGCACTCACGATGGTGCGTGAGACAGCGCACAGGTCGACGTAATGGGTGAGCACATCTGCGACAGTGCACGGCAGGGGAATGCTGGCGGGGGCGCTCCCCGCCTTGTCATCCACCAAGTCGACCCAGTGGTCCAGATTGTAGCCGCAACGATGGGCCACCGCCGACACAATTTCTTTGGCGTTTTGGGGGTACAAGGCGAGAATGCCCGTGCCAGTGTACGGGACGTCGGTGGCGAAATCCACTTGGAGGGCGGTGGATGACAACTTGACGATTGAAATGACTTGAATTGTTGGAGGGGCGTACAGCACAGCTTGGAGGGTCGATGTGGGCTTTTGTTGCATCGTCGGCGGCCGAGGGTGTTGCAACTCGGCAAACGTGCCAAGTTTCGATGCTGGGATACAGTAACTTTAGTGTGCGATTACGTATATATATATATATAGACTATTGATCTTGTCAAGTCGGTTCGTAATTGGAGTCGCCAGTAGAATCGAATAGACTTGGCAAATCGATTTGGGAATGAACTAGCCAAAATCAAAATCCATTCTAACCCCGCCTTTACAAGATTTCTGAATGGTTCAGCCAATACCCCCTGTTGCAGATTGAATTCACTGTACTATAGTGATATGTTGCCAAGTACGGCTTCACGTTTCGGTGAGAAGGACAATATACAGACAATAATAGTTTTAGTTCGCTCTAATAAACTTGCAGCAAGCACTTTTGAGGGGGTGGGTGAATACACTTATTGTTTCTGAAATAGCCAATCCAAAGATCTCAAAATGGTAGTAGCCAATCAATAGCGTGGATTCGTGCTTCGATGCTTCGATTCGGACGACATTTGGAACCGAACCCACAATACATACCGTACGTATAGTGTATATGTTTTGATTTCACAACCGACCGACACTCGTTCTCAAAATCTTGTTAATCCATTGCGTCATACAAATTTGAAGTATATTCACACTGTCAACATATTTACAAGCAAATATCAGTTACTACAAGAAAATTATCAGTTATTACAGGAGTCGCAATGTATATACACTATACGGTATACTCGTAGTACTTGCATGGTAGATCCACCGCCCAAACAGATGGACAACAGCAGGACGTACGTTGTGCGGTCGCCGGTATTGTTGTCGTCGTTGACGACGTCATGTCAGCAGTTGCCATTGGCGCCACGACGTCCAAAACCCGACCTTCCCACGCATCGTAGTCGTTGTCCAAGTGGTCGATTTCCCCCGCGGCGTCGCCCAGCGACAAGTCAAAGAAACGAGTGGCCCCAAACGCTCCAATCTTGGCGTCCACAAACTTGGCCATGCCGTTGTACGAGTCCGTGTAGTCCGAGTTGCCGCACCCAAACACAGTGTACTGCATATGCGATAGATCGGGCTTTAGCGATGTCTTCAACCAATTGTAAAACGATGTCGCGTCGTCGGTGGGTCCGCCGGTGCCGTAGCTCGCCACGACAAAAATCACGGTCGAGTACTGCGTCGACTTGTGTACGTTAAACTGGCTCAACGACATTGCCGTGGCCTACGCAGATCAGGAGACACCATCTATACACTGTATATTAGCATAAACTCTCACTTGAACATTGCGCTTTTGAGCTTGCGTCGCCAACCGCCGGGCATACCCTTCAGTCGTCCCTGTCTGGGACCCGTAGAAAATGTACACGTCTGGTTGGGCGTTGCTGGTTTTCTTGGAGGCACGAGATGAATGGACGCGGTTCCAGCCAAAGCACTCGACCACACGCCGCAGCATGCTGTCGTGGCTACCTCTTCGTTCAAAAATGCCTCATTGGCAGAGCAATGGTGCCAAAGGCCATCATGGCGGTTTCAAAACCGTTACAAGCGGCATCGATTTAACGTTCCGCTCAAAATATAGCATCATAATAGACTTGACAACTAATTCAAAATAGCGCCAGAGCTTACTGTGTACTACTTCAGTACCGGTACTATAAATTCTATTAATAGCGTTAGCAGTATTAATACGCACCGGTAGTATCACAGTAATACCACCATACAGTCGTTGTGGGCACTTTTAACAGTCGATGCTGCTCCTTCATGACCATATGGATATTGATATTGATATTACGCTGTAAAGTTAAAATCACTCAGCGGGCACTTACAGTTAATGGTTCATGACTATATGGACGCCAACAAGAAACAGTTTCGGTGCACCAGCTGCTAACGTTATAGTTATACTTACAGCAAAAAGCCAAGTAAAGCATCACCGGAGGCTGCGGGAAGTGACGAATGTAGCTATCCTCGGCGACATTAGCGAGGATGAACGTATGTCTAAATGAAGGAGACGAGCTTTGTTCCGAGCGACTTTGTATTCGATTCCGCTGTTCAAAACGTATACTGGTACGTAGTATGGACTTCAAATGTTGGCCGCCAGTTACGATGCTTTTTGGAAATGTATCCAAAACATTCCACGAGAAGGCCGTCACGTATACCCAAAGGTTTTGGGTTGTACACGGTATTTAGGGACTAAATAGAGCAATTCCTTAACATTTAGCGTGCAATTCCTAACATTAAGCCAGCAATACCCACCACCTTTCGATAAACTCCTATATAATTATACAATTGAAGTACGTAGATGCCACAGAATTTTTGATGCAAAGTCAACCACTTTGCTGGCCTTGGCATACTTAGAGGTGTTCGTGGTATGAAAATAAAGTGTCCACTTTAGTGTGTCAAAATGATTATCAACTCTTCACTCCTCTGTTCACAATGCATATATAAATGTTGGCCAGGATAAAATTATTGTATACAAGCTGCAAAACCCGGGATTCACTGTGGTAAATTATTAAACGTAGTGCACCGCTGCTTTGTATTTCAGGCTGACCACGATTTGATTCTAGCGTGTAATATTGCGAATTCGCTATAAACGTCCAAAATTCGCGTGGTTTGTCGAATCAATATTGAATCACGCCGGAGTTCTGATTGGTTGAATATACTTGTCCTTTCTGCAAGAGCCAATCAAATCCACTCAATAAAGGATTAGCCAATAGCGTCGATTCGTGATTCGATTCAGCGGCCAGATTCGATTCGACGGGGTCTGGAGATTCGTATCGAATATACCACAATATGGCGATCATGATCTACAATGTACTATCGTTTGAGAATCGGAAAGTTGATCATTCCCGTGGGCAAAAGAAATCACTTATGACTAACTACTTGTACACAAGCTATATCTTTGTCTCTCCCGACGGTTTCCCCTCCACCGAATAATACAAGGGGTATTAATAAGTAAATACGTCACACGTGTGTGTATATATAATTAAAAATAGTTTATTCGAGTATAACTGCAATAGCTCGATGTCGTCGCGGGGTGATCACGTTGCTGCTTGTACTCGTAGAGACAGGTCTGGTACGTTGGGTTGTCGCGCTTTGTGTACATTTCCAGGACATCCTACATACACAACACCATTATTCACTTTTTCCATTTAAAAAGGACAAGCAGTTACACAACCACGTGTCACACGTTCATATAGTTGTTGTTTATTCTACTTTGGAGACAAACAGTGACATGAACGAATCGATCTCGACACAACCAAATAAATACACATGTACACCACCATCATCGGCCAAAGGATATATATATATATATATATTTAGCCAATCAGATTGCAGGAAACCATCATCACACAACGTCAAATTCATGCGAGACTTTAGAATGAGTGCCCACAGGACCAACATTTTGACATACAAGAACATTCATTCCGTACAAAGTTCAAACAATCGATTTTTCCAGGTAGATTTGGCGGTGATTTTCGGCATAAAAGTCGTAATTTTGGGTAAAAGCAAGGCAATATATACACAAAAAGTATCACCACGTCACAGCAGCAGCAGCAGTTTTCAAGCTTACATGGGCCAACATTCGAACTGTGGCATGCCAGTGTGTCTTGAAGGCAGCCATAAGCGACGGAAATAAAATCGGGAGCACCTGCCTGGTATGTCTTGGGTTAAAGATGGAGTGATTGATGAGTTGCGTCGAGTTCCATAGGAAGAGCGTGCGTTCGGCGACTTGGAAATGGACACACTCGATGCATTTGGCCAATAGCGCAGTGATTTTGGCCTTGGTGGGTTGAGGTAAGCAGTCCACGGGGGTAATCTCAAGCACTTCTTCCAGTGCATTGAGGTACAGAATCTGTTTGGCAGTGGATTGGTGGGGCCAGTGGGTGAGTAGGTACTCGACGACCGCCGACGACAAGGTCGGGGCTTTGGCGACGAAATCCGTTATGCAGAGCAACAGCGGTTGGTGGTAATGCACAAGCGCGTGCTTTGCCAGCGGGAGCAGCGTTTTCATGAGCAGTGTGACGTGATCGGGCTGCAACGGCGTCGTAAATCCCCGGATGATGCTGCTTAGCACTTCCAACAGGTCGGGGATGCCATAGGGGTACCCCATCCCACCGTACTCGATGTACTGCATCAACACGTGGACAAACTGCTGGTGGATGTGCAGGCGCAGACTCTTGAACTTGGCGTAGATATTGTGCAGGACGGTCGCAACCATCACGCGTTCCCGCGGGTCTTGGCTCTGGATGACGCCAAGAAGGTCCGACACGAACGACGGCGTGATGTGCGCCTTGATCAGTCGCGGAGGAATCGGGGCGTCCACGATGTGGACGAGTAACGTGTAGACAGACTAGGTACACAACTACATGTTAGGTCTTTCACGGGCGTGACGAGACAAGGGATGGAGAGAACCTCGAGAAAGTCCCAATGCGGATTGTACGTGGGCCGATCCTCATCTGGATCGTAGGACGATGGAGGGGATGGTAATGTGCGAATGACGTGAGCAGTCTACGTGAAAGTCGCCCATGTTTGGTGAATGTGGCTATGGTGTATAGCAGTCATCATACAGAGTGAACGTACGACGATGTGCATGTAGGTTGGGACGTCGGCGTCATCAAAGGCAAAGGCAGGTTGATTGATTGCCTCCAGCACCACTTGCATGCGCTCGTACTTCATCTGGACGTTGCCGTCATCGCCGCCGCCATCCACACCAAGGAGCAGCGTGAGGTCCATGCGAATAATTCAGTTATAAGAGTCTAAGTGTCATCATCGTCGTCATATGTATGTGGAAAGAAACCTTGGGGAAACCATCGTATTAGTGCCTATCATGGAGTGTTTTGATTGGTTGCATAATTCCATCCGATTCATTGATTGGATATAAAGTCATATATCTCTCAAACATGAGCCAATCAAACGAGCCCAAAACAGATATACTCGTCAAAGTGTCTTGGTATGTTGCTAATTTCATTCATTACTATTACATAGTAAATGCGTTATATATTCCGTTGTCGCAGACCAACCTCGGAACGACAAGGACCAAATGAACGTTAACGTCAGTCAGTCGTGGATGGTAGTTAGACGATGGCGGTGTTGTTCCTGTAGTATGTACGACGTACTATAGGGGAGCACAAGACCGACCATGAACGAACTCTGTCAAATACATTCACTCTGCAGAGTGTTGATTGCTTGACATACACTTCAAGTATTTTCGAGTGTACAACTCCCTCATTAAAACAATTTCACTGTTGTTTGACTGGGAATTCTCACATCCAGATACACCTTTTCGCAAGCTGTCCTAACCCCCCGATGAGTACATACGATGCTAAATATCTCCGGGGTTACTGTAACTGCATCGCTAGTGGTTAGCTATCGCTAACCACTGAGATGCACTTAACCCCTAGTAAGAGGTGACGTGGTCCGAGCATACAAAGTTCCATAGAAACACTCAAATTGCAGTGTTTACTGAGAAAACAACAGTGAAACTGTTTGAACGAGGAAATTGTACACATACATCCCACATTCCTCCACTGCCCTCGCGGAGGAATGTCTTACAGTACTAAACAAACCAAACTCAGTTAACCATGGATCTACAGTTAACGTTAGGTATTGTACAGCATCGGTAGGTAGGACGATGATGTCGTCACACAAAGATTTTAGTCGATCGAAAGGCCTGATAAGTCAGCATTCACGTTTTAGCAAGCCGCCCCTTGTTAATTACTTCACAATTTCACATCGGGTGGAGTACTCTCCAGGTAGGTATTGCTTGTGTTTATTCTAAACTGGAGCGATATGGAGAATGATTGACACAACCAAATAAATGTACACAAGAATCGGCAGAAGGATTCGTGTGTGACTTCAATTAGTGTGGTCAATCACCACAGGACAACTTTTTACATGCAAAATTCAGTACAAAGAATCAATCGATAGGCGATTCAGCATAAAAGTTCACATTTTGGCTAAAAGAAAGACAATATGTTTGGTAGTTTGGTTGTCCTCCACTGGGCACCCCTGACACTACTTACATATGAAACCATAACCATAATCGTAGTGGACGAGTACTGTACCGGCATAATCCACTGTATGTGAATACACACATTCCGAGGTTGGACTTTGTACAATTACAAGTGCAGATAAGTACATAACCTTGTAGTGATAACTTAGCATGGGAAACAAACCCACGGGGGATTGAAAGTAAAGGCCGTCAGGCATTGCATCCCATTAGTAGTAACTACACAGAAGCTGCTCCATCCATACACATTATAAATAATCCATGTCATTAAACACCCAAATGTATCGAAAAGAAAAGCGCTGTTTAAAACTACACTTTTACCATGGAATTGGTCTCGAATAATCCGTTGAAGATTATTGATTGGTGGGTCCCATTTACCAACATTAATAAATACACTAGACATTTGTATACGTTGACCCTGGTTTTCAAATAAAAATCCATCCGAACGAGGCTGAGTGTAGGTCCGTCCTAAACCACCAATGTTCCCTTGACCAATAATCAACCGGTCATTCTCCATTCAGCAGCAGCAACAACACCAGCAGCATGGCCATCCGCTGTCAATTCGAAAACTCCAACGAGATCGGAGTCTTCTCCAAGCTCACCAACTCGTATGCGCTCGTGTGTGTGGGTGGGAGCGAGAACTTTTACTCGACGTTCGAAGCCGAGCTCGCCGACCACATCCCCGTGATCCATTGCTCCATGGCGAGTTGCCGCTTCATCGGCCGCGTGTCCGTGGGCAACAAGCGCGGCTTGCTGCTTCCCAACTCGACCACAGACCAGGAAATGCAGCACATTCGTAACGCGTTGCCCGACTCGGTCGTCGTCCAGCGCGTGGAAGAGCGCTTGAGTGCGCTCGGCAACGTCGTCGCATGCAACGATCACGTCGCGCTCGTGCACACGGATTTGGACCGCGAAACCGAAGAGATCATCGCCGACACGCTGGGCGTGGAAGTGTTTCGTCAGACAATTGCGGGCAACGCACTCGTGGGCAGCTACTCGGTGTTGTCGAACCAGGGGTGTCTCGTGCATCCTCGCACGACTGTAGATGACCAGGAAGAACTCAGTTCGCTGCTCCAGGTACCCGTGGTCGCAGGGACGGTGAACCGAGGGAGCGACGTGCTGGGCGCCGGCATGGTTGTGAACGACTGGACGTCGTTTTGCGGACTCGACACAACGTCGACGGAAATCTCGGTCGTCGAAAGCATCTTCAAGCTGCAGAATGCCCAACCCAACGCGATTGCCAACAGCTTGCGCAGCGCTTTGATCGACTCGATGACTTAAGCACTATGTACAAACTAATCTACTGCGTTCTATAACTACTCACACACATTCAGGTTACGAAGTACATATATATATTATATACATTTTAAATTATGTATAAATTATATATTATATATATAAATTATCTATATAAATTATCTATATTATCTATATATATATTATATATTGTCCAATCGATTCGAAACTGGAGTTGTCAGCAGAATAATCGAATGTCGGAAGAGAATCGATTCAAGAACTACCTGAGCCAATCAAATCACGTCATGTCGAATTTTTGCCAATCCAAACGTTTGACCCCTCCGCATTGGGCAAAACCAATCATATATATATATACTAATCTTTGTATGGTATAGTCTGTACAATATTAAATAGGGTCAAATAGATTCCAAAGCTATTTGGCGAAATGACTCTCAAGTCCAAATTTGGTTGGTGAAATGCACAATATATACTTGACCAGTTTATGTGTACTCAAATTGGCCAATGGAATTGCTTCATTTTTGGAATAGCCAATCAAATCACTAGAACAATGAAATCACCAAAAAATAAGCAGCTTTTATATTATATGCTTACTCGTGCACCATAAACCGAGCGGAAATCAGATTAAATGATCCCCAAAATGAACCTAATTCAAACCGATTAAATAATGAAGAAGAATGCCCAACCTTTCGGCTTCATTATTACGCATGGTAGCTATAAACTACTAGAATAGATAAATAGTCTCTCACGTTCCCACGTCTTTTCATATGACGCTGTTAAGCCACGTTCAAATAACATTTTGGTCGGTTGTCAAGGTGACGCAGTACGAGTCACTCATGTAGTTGGAACAACGGAACAGATTAGTTTTAATGGATTGGATGCAATATACATGTATATATATATTATATATATCTACGCCGAGTCGACAAATTTCCACTGAAACAGCGTCCGGTCTGAGCTCCCAATCGTAAACAACGTCGTGTCGTCGCAACTGACCGCGACTCCGTGCACTGGCCCGCCATGGCCTCGGACCGTTGCGTATGCCATCTAATATTATTATATCACGTTTAAATATATATACATACATATATGCGGCCGCGTACTTTCAAACACTCAACATGTATAACGTTATAAATATATATATATATATATGTATGTGCAAGACACACAATGCATACTCCAACACACAAGCAACGGATTACACACCGCATATATACATATCTATATATATATATATATAGCCCCGTCCTTTCAAACACTCAAATACATATACATACATATATATTGTGCAAGACACACACAATTCATACTCCACACACAAACATGCGGACGACTACACACCATATATATATATATATATATATATACAATTCACACTCTCTCTTCACTTATGCATATGAATGACATATATTCATATACGTACATATATATATACAATTCACACTCTCTTCACTTATGCATATGAATGACATATACGTATATATATATATACAATTCACACTCTCTTCACTTATGCATGTGAATGACACTTACGTTTTTGGATAAAGCCGGGAACGAGTGGCAGTTGAGGTCGCCCTTGTCATTGCCACACACGAGCACCTTCTTGGACATCGCCACGGCCATCGCGTGCACAAAATCAGTCGAGTCGCCCCAGACGCCCTGCGACGCCCAGCTTAAAACACACGTCAGGCTCGCCCAATCAACGTCGCGCAAGAGACTCGGGCTACTGATCCACGCCCCGTCCAGCGTATTTACTAGAGTCAGCGGTATATATTATTGTAAATTGTTCGAAATTGGTGATTGCATGCACTGATACATCGACCAATCAAAACACAGAACACGATGTATGTGACCAATCAAATAGTCTCTCGCTCCAACCATCATGCAGCATATCGAATGATAGTATTTACTGTTAGTATGACCCAGGAAGTGTTTTATATACGACATTCCGTACAAAACTATTGATCGATCGATGGAATATTTTTTGGTACATAAATTCCAAATATTGGCTAAATGCTCAATATCTCAAATGAGCATTAAAAAAAAAATGCATAAAAAAGTAGTGGAAAACTTGATATTAGTGTACGTACAGTAGATCAACTCGAACGCGTCGCTGTTGGCACGAAGGTATCGGCTGTCTTTGGAAAAGTCCAAGTGGGTGATGTGTCTATAATAGATATAAATATATATATATCCAAGTCGTATATATGATATATATTATATATATATAACAATTTGTTATAGTAATAGTAATAATACCCCGTGGCCTTGGTGCATTTGGACTTTAGCGCGTAGTTTTCCATGACCGAGTGCAAGTAAATGCAATTGTCGTGGGACCTAATACATATCGGTTTTGTAAGGTATTATTAAATAATATATTTCTTCATTCATTTTTATTTACCCAATCGCTAGCAACGTGCCGTCAGGGCTAAACTTGATATCGGCCAAACTTTGCTTGGAGTCTCGCCCTTCGTGCACGATTTCCAATGTCGTGGCGTCCAAAATGCAAAACTATCGAGGTTCACACAATATATATGTATATGTATATATGTATATATACATATAATATATATTAGACATATTACGTACAGCTCCGTCTTTTAACTGCGTCGTTTGAGATGCACTGCCGAGTCCTACCGCGAGCAATTTGCCATCCCCAGAATAACTGATGCACTTGATCGGGGTGTCCATGATCACTTTTCCAATCTACAGCCATCGACCATTTATAATTAATTCAAATCATGATATACCAACAATATAATTAATATATATATATATATATCGACCAGTTCATGAGTATGGGCATTCCACACACGCAAGGCACAGTCTTCGCCACCGGTCGCGACGATATTTGCCTGGTTTGGGTGGGTAGCCAGACCAAATAGCCCGTGCTCCGAGTGACTTTCTAACACTAAATTCGTGTCGCCGCGTTCTTGGCTGAGCTCGTACACTTCCCCACCTACATTCAAAGTTATCGCTTTCAAGTCTCAGAGTCATACGCCAAAATCTTTGTTTGGGATACATAAAAAACATAATATTAAACAAACAGCATTGGGGCATACAAGTATACAATCGAGCCCTCACTGAATTTGGGCGAATGATACTTTGAAAGGGAATTGCATGAATTTTCGCAAAAGTTTGGTTTATAATCAGCGCTTAAAGCAGTTGTAAGCCAATGAAATGTCATATTGAGAGAAACTGAAGAATTACAGCGAATGAAATGCAAATGTCGCCAGTAACTTGGAACATGCGAATTTTGAAATGTCAGCAGTAACCTGGAACAGAGGAAGTACCAAAGATGAGTTTAAGATTCAAAACGAACCCATCGTGTCAAAACAGATCTATTGGTGAAGGAATGAAAACGTTATACCCAATCATAATACAAAAAGCCATGACGTCCAAATATATATATATATATATATAGATAGTTATATATAGATAGTTATATATAGATAGTTATATATATATATATATATAGTTATATATATATATAGATAGTTATATATATATATAGATAGTTATATATATATATAGATAGTTATATATATATATAGATAGTTATATAGATAAACAGTACGAATTGGCAACATCGTTTCACTTGCACCTCAGTAAGCAGGACGATGAACTACCACAAGGACAACCACAAACCACTGAAAACAATCCACAACTCGTAATTTAAAAGGATTTAAAATGAATAAAAAACCAACCTTTGGTGCCGACAAGGAACCGAGACTCAAACACGTCCCATGCGACACTGCGCACAATCGGGTTGGAACACGCGGGTTTGGCTTGCACCATGTCACAGTCCCAGATCGGATGCAATGTTCGACTCCACACTTTGACATGGCCGTCCGCACTGCCCGTGACGACACCTATTTCAAATCCATTTAAAATACAATTTTCATTGAAACCAATTCGAAAATGCGATATCGATATACGACCAATCAAAACCCAAAACACAAAACAAGTAACCAATGAAAGCATCACCCTTCTTCGTTCGACCCATGCAACATGTGTGTGTGGGTCACTTCCGTGTGACACTCGACAACATCGTTTACATACAAAAGTCAGTACAAACACATCTCGCGGGGATAAAAAATACTGTGATCGCACCGTATATATATATATATATATATATATATATATATAGTTACTTTAATTACAACTTTTCTCGCGATCGTAACTAATTATATCACACAACGAAACACCAATCTCACCTATTCTAACTTGTTTTTGATCTCACAATCGATCGATAGAGTTGACACGAATCAGCCCCAAAGCCCAAAAACTGTTGGCGAGTTTAATATTTGTCAAGATATTCGAAATTGGAGATCAAATCAGCAGCACTAAATCGGCAGACAATCGATATATCGACCAATCAAAACCCACAACACGAATCAAGTAGCCAATCAAATCCACTCATATTCGACCAATGCACCATCGAATTCGTGTGTGACTCGCTGACGTTTACATACAAAAGTCAATCAATCGATAGATTTGGCAAAGAATCAGCACACAAAAGTAATCCAAATGTTTGGTAAAACGACAATATATGCAATAATATTATTGTTTATTGTACGTACCCAACACCGACACTGCGATGGTGTTGATCGTGCCAGCGTGTGCAGGTATACTCTTTTCAATTGTGGTCGTATGGGCGTCCCACAGGTACAAATGGCCCGTGCGCGTGCCTACATACAGGTCAGCTCGCGGATGTATTTAAAATCCATTTTAAATCCCACTTTCGCACGTTATAATTTATTTTTTAAATTCTATTCACGCCATCCATACCCGTGACAACCGACGATTGATCCAACAATGCGCCCCCACAAGTCACCATTTGAATCTGCCCATGGGCTCCAAATGTGCCCATCGTCGCGTGACAAAAAGGGGGGTCCACCCGCCAAAAGATGACGTGATCAGCGCCGCCCGTGATGACGTCATACACACTTTGCATCGGAGGCAATGTCAGTGCAAATCGCACGGGGAGATGGGTGGTTCGTGTGGTTGCCAGGATGCGGCTGTCGTGCCAGAGCTTGGACGGAGAATAGTAGATGCACATGGACTGATACGGGTCCTTCCCGATGCTTACGAGGCGAGTGCTGGTGTCGTTGAACGTCAAGTACACGACAGCTTTCGAGTGAAACGGCGCCAAAATCTAGGAAATACAGTAAATATTGTCAAGATATTGTCAATATATTCGAATGTTTGCGTGCTCTCAATCGAATCAGAGCAGAATCTCCAAATCGGTGCACAATCGATACACGACCAATCAAAAACCACAACACGAATCAAGTAGCCAATCAAATTATCCACTCACATTCGACCAATTAGTGTGTGAATGAAATTAGTGTGATACTGGACACCCTTTACATACAAAAGTCAATACCAAGAAGAATCGATCGATAGATTTGGCAAAGAATCAGCACAAAGTCAACCAAGTTTTGCGTACAAGGGCAATATCAAGCCAAATCGATTCGAAATTAACTGGAGCCATCAGCAGAATCATGATCGAATGTGTTAAAAGAATCGATGAACGAACCGCCTGAGCCAATCAAATCTCGTCATGTCGAATTTCTGCCAATCCAAACGTTTGACCCCATTATTGGGCAAAAAACAAACACATACATATATATACTAGTCATTGTAAAGTTGTATAGTGTGTACAAGATTAATAAATATGGATCAAATACTTTGAAAGCTATTTGTCGAAATCACTCTCAAGTAGTCCAAATTTGGTTGAAATATATGGACAAAATACAAGTGACGACGACATATATAGATAGATAGGTAGATCTCGTACGGCAATAGGCGAGCAGGCGGCGGGGTCCCAAATGTGAATCCGAGGTCGGACTGAAGGATTCGATGACGTAAACACTTCTTCGCCAGTGGCTACGAGCAATCCGTCGCCAGTCAGCGCCAGCGAGATGATGGGGGCGGTGTGCCCCGAGTAGAACACTTGAGTGTGGTGTTTCCTATGAACCAATCAAAACCCTCTTTTGTCATTTTCAAGTTGGTTTTTGGTCGTGTTCCAAGCAGCATGCATCGAGTAAGTAGTAATATATATTGTTGCTTTCGAGTGACATTTCATTGTGTTGTGGTTTCTCGTTGGAATTTAAATCGATTTGATTGGCTACCTCAGACGAGCTCAACATTATGAACCAATCAAAACCCATTTCTCAATGAAATTCAACAACCAATCAGATCGATTGTGGATCGGTTTCGTCGGCGCGATTCGATTGCACCCCGTCCCCAAATTTGTATCAAATCGACCATACATACTTTAACTCCAACAGTCCTCCAAATGGTATTTTTCTAATATGTATACAGTACTCTCATACATAAGGTTCAACTCGGGCTCGATATTCAATCCACGCTGCTAAGTCCAATATTTCAGGACAAAATAGACCATACAATCAAACTACTAACACCAACGCCAAAAGTACTACCGTATACCTTATGGATCTGTACGACCCCCGAAAATGTCAGTAAAATCTGATCGAAATGGATACAACTCAATAAGGTGGTCTGATTTCTTTCCGTTCGGATTGGTTACTTCTTCTACTTTGACTTGTTTAATTGGCTAGAACGAGATAATTGGACAGTTTTGACCAATATATAGCGACTTGGGTATAGCCTTCCAAAGTACCACCAAATCGTACTTTATTGACATCATACAGCAATTTGGGTACAACTCGATAAGGCAAAATCATGGGTACTGATCCATAAGGTATACGGTAGTCTTGCCCCATATCTTTCGAATGAAAACGGACAACTGGAAAATGTCCTGGCCAATCAAAGCGTGCAGACATGACAAATTTCATCCAATCATCGATCAGAATTAGTGTGGCCCACGTGTTTGGCTCACCGAGTCAAAAACCAAATGATCGATACCATACATTGCATACATAGTAAGCTAAATCAACATGGGCTCAACCAATCATATTATTCACATATTAGCTGCCAACTCCATAAACAGTGAAAAGGCCATATATATATAATGTACATACCGGTCGTAACTGATGCCCATGTTACCCGTGATGCTGATCAATCTCTTGGATTTGGAATACCCCAATGACCCACGGACGTCTTGAAGCCTGGCGCCATAAGCGTATTCAAGCGTCAAATTAAACGGAAACGACTGGGGTTCATCTGGGACAACCGATGGCGGAATTAAACTGCTCAAGTATGGCTTGGCGCCTACCAGGATAAAATACATCAACTTATGAGACCTATATGAACCATATCTCGGATGTCTATTCAATTTTATTTGAGTCGATCGGATTGGCTCGTTCAGAATAAACCAGTAGATGATTCAGCCAATCAAAACTTCAGTATGCATTGTTGATAGTGTCCTAGGGATTTCATCCAACCCCAGATCAACACTTTCTAGACGGTTAATGTAAATTATGATCCTATAATACACCAAAAGTAATATATTTGTATCAACCCATATCTATCCATACAACTGAAGATCCCCTCGTATGCATAGATATCGATTGCGATATGTATCACACTGGGCCTTGTTTGTTACAAACCTCAATACAAAATAATCGGTCGAGTTGCCACATGGCAAACCATCATATACTCTATCGGATCTCTCACAAATATATATATATATATACCCAGACAATATATATATATATTCACTGCCTTGGCCATATATAAACACACGTTGCCTCGTCTCTTTACGCACCTGCAAACGGCGCAACAGCCATCGGGGTCGGTACAAACCAGCCTTCGGTTTCCATATCCGGATCCGGTTCAACCAACTTGGCTGGATTGGCCATATCTTTGTCCACGGGGATTGAACTCGACACTTTCCACTGCACAATTCCATGATCATAGAGTCCCACACTAATTAAAAACGCTCCGTTTTGGCTAAACGACAAGCCCTGAACAGGTCCAACGTGTCCGCTGTACATCTTAGATGGAAGCCCGCCCCGCACACACGGAAATCGGACCAATTTAAGCGCACCCTGGGAATCGCCCACCACGAGAATGCCGGTAGAATTGGCCGCGCTAGCCGTGATACTCGTCTGGGAAGATGAAGGAGGCCATGCGCCTTGGTTGAACCAGTTGAAAATAGTGTGGCAAGTGTGCCACGATTGATTCTTCAATGCCGAGGCACTGGCAACGTGGGACCCTGTCGTCAAATCGGCAAACAAGAGCTCGAATCCCCCGCAGTTGCTCTACACAAAGCACGAGTTGGGTTTGCATACTTGTGTATAGAAATAGGATGGATAGAGAAATACAATGACATATGTATATATAATAATCAATGTTTCAAAACGGTATATAGATATATACATATATATAGATGTACACATGGGGTAGATATATGGCGCAAGAAAAAGGAATATATTTATTCAAGTACTCGATAGTAGGGCAAAGAAAACATATATATGTACAGGGTAGTACATGTGAAGATATATATATGGCGTAAGTATATATATATATCTTAAAGTACTCGATAGTAGGCCAAACAAAGAAAACATGTAACGTGCACTACCATATGTGGCGTTGATCTGCACCATGCAATATAAAACGTGATATATCATTAGGTCATTCAATATAATCTCAAACCATTTATGTCATTGTACTATATGCAAAAATTTGTCCAATCTAATTATATGGTGGTCTATATGAAAAGAAGAATCAAGGGATGTTACGTACGCGTAGATATTGCGAATCGCTCGTGATGTCGAAATGCGTGATAAAGCTACAATCCATCGTTTTCGTCAATATATATATATTATGGATATATATATATTATGGATATATATATATATATATTATGGATATATATATATATATATATTATGGATATATATATATTATGGATATATATATACCTTTTGTGCTTGGTAAAGGTGGCGCGCTTGGCGTATTCGTTGGGCACGTCGTAAATGTAAATCGAATTGTCCTGGGAACCGACCACCAACGACACGCCGTCGGGTGAGTACGCCACAACCGAAATCGGCTGCTTGGTGTCTCTCGTCTCATGGAGTACCTCTATATATGTAAATATATTACGTATTATATAATATATATATATTATGTATTATAGAATGTATATATTACATTATATATGTATTACATATAATATAATATATATATATTATGTATAATATAACGTATTTTACATGTATCGAATGAATTCAGCAAATGTGATGGAGAATATCCTAACCAATCAAACGTGCACGAACAAAACAATACTTCCACCAATCATCGAGTTGTTTGGCCCTGTCAATAAAATGTTCATCTTCCATTGTATATACATACACCATCATACATGTGAATAACTTCAACACTGACTCGAATGGATGATTCTCGAGTGAAATCAGCTACCACGTTCAAATTTTGAGCGAAACGGACAATATATATATATATATATTGATATACTTCCGTCTATACAATTAACAAACCAAATTAATTTCACGTGTCTAAAGGTGACAACACCATCACCACCAGCCAACCCAAACACCATCAGCAGCATATTCATCATTGCCATAACTTATATCCTTTGAAGCGAAAATTAGTAATATTGTCAACTTGAATCATAGTGGGAGTAAGTACCGCCCGTAGAATCGATCGAATCTAGATTGGAGAAATATCGAAAATCACGAATAACGACGCTATTGGCCAATACATTTTTGAATGGATTTGATTGGCTCGTACGGAAACAACACAAGTATATTCAACCAACCAGAACACTCCAGCGTGCTTCCATCTTGAGTAGACAAACCAAGCGACATTATTCGATTCGACGGGGTCTGGAAATTTGTACCGAATATACCACAATATATATATATATACATATATCCACATTCGATGGCACGACAATCACAAATACTTGACACCCAACCAACCACACACATATATATATATATATATATCTTTGCTTTGGTATACCTAGTTGGACGGCGCCATCCACGACCTTTTCTTCGTAAATCAACACTGTGCCATCCTTTTTATGCCGATTCTTGCGGGGGTTGCCGCCGAGTCCGACGGCCACGTACGCGCCTTCAGGTGAATACGCCACTGCCCTGGAGGCGGTTTCAAGGGTGAATTTGAGCACACATCGGTGCCGATGCAGGTCCCACAGCCGCAGCGTAGCGTCGTCTCCGCCAGTGATTGCTTTGTCTTTTAACGGGTGTATAGCCAAAGCCTGGACGTGGCCTTTCCAGTGCATTTCGACACTCCATTGAACAGACCCATCCGACAAACTCAGCTCCAACACCGCACTACCCCTTGTACCCACGAGAATCGACTGGTTGCACCACGCTAGAGACCGTACAGGCATCTCGTGCACGGAATTCCACTCGGAGAGACACTCCAAATCGCCCGACCACAGCTACATACATTTATATATATATACAAACATGAGTGAATACTCTATATATTGTTCAAACTGGAGCGACATGCATGGTGGAAATGAACGAGTAGTGAATGAATCGACGACACAACCAAATATAGCGACAGATGCAAATATCAGGATACTAGTACAAGCAGCGATAGAGTTGGCGAATCAGCATAAACGTGTCCAAGTTTGTTTCTGAGTAAGAGGACATTATATCGAGAACTCAAAACTGGACCCGCCAGCCAGCAGAATAATATCTTATAGACTCAACAACACCCGCCTCATGGCCAATCAAATCACGACCTGTTGAGTTTCTGCCAATCCAAACGCTTGATTTGGGGGCAAACCCATATATATATATATATATATATATATATATATACGAATCGTTGAATACTAAACTCTAGTTTGTACAACCTGATATTCGATCAATTCGATTCGAAGGCTAGTTGGGGTGAAAAACACAATACTACTTTCTATATATACTATGATTGTCACATCGGTTCAAATGTACACTTACTTCTCCATGCCTTGTAGAATGACTTGGCCAATCAAAGTGCATTCATGGGAAGTTTCAACCAATCACCATATAGTTTGGTCCTGCGGTTTCACCAATCCAAAACACCATCTCGTTAAATGTGAATGAATACCATCCATTGAATACGCTTCAAATCAAGCTACAATATATATCAAAGGTACAGATGAATGACTAGAGAATATATCATTGACGATTTTGGGCAGCACGTTCTCAAAAATATCAAATGTCTATAACGTGGAGATGCCATGTTTCGATGCAAAATTGCCAGAAATGAACTGTCGTATATCATCACATATATCAAATGTATGTCTCCTCGAGCTTTTAATATTTCAGAATGTATGGGTACAGAATGTATGTTTTACCTTGATGAGACCATCCCGACCGCCGCTACACAGGGACGTGCCGTTTATGACGACGAGAGCAGCCACGTTGCGGGTATGCGCCGGCACAATCGTCACCAACTCAATGCCTAGTATACCACGTATAGTATTACTAGCCACGGATAGTATTACTAGTTGATAACATATTTGATACCCTTGAATTTGTACAATTCGCCGCTCGTGGACCCGACGATCGCGTCTTGGTGGAGAAATACCACCGATAAAAATGGCTGCAAATACCCTCGTTTGCCCATCACCGCTTGCTTTCGCACGAGATTTCGGCCTTGCTGGGCGTAAAATAGCACCGTGTGGGTGTTCAGCTACGATTGGTTGGAATGGGGTCAAAACAAATTTATCTTTGATTTAAAATTATTTGACATTTTTCAGATTTTTTCTTATTATACTGATTTTTTATTTTCCCTTTATTTTGGCCAAATGGTTGGAATTGGAAAGGGGTTGAAACAAATTTTTTAAAAATATCAGTTTAGTTTTTAAATATATGTGCCATTTTTCAGATTTTTTATTATGATTATACATAAATATATATATATATATATATATATTGCCTATACAATATATGGAATAACACAGTACCGCTAAAAACGTCGATGCAGTGGGATGAAACACAAGCCCGAGCAGTTTGTGGGCGCCAGACTTGACACTTGATAACACGACGCCAAGTTCCCAGTCGTACAAGACAATGCGGTTGTCTGCATCGCTGCCAGCGGAAGCTAGCAGATTCCCCGCAGGATTGAACCTATTATTACAAAATCCACACCATATTATTATCCATTTACGGGAAATGAAGAAATATTACTATATATATATTTAGCACGTACGCGAGTTCGACCACACCGCGCTTGTGGGTGCCGCGAAGCGTCGACAGTACGTCGAGCGCCTACCGTATACATCCCGATGTACCATTGAATATGAGTTCAAGTATACTATACTGAATATAGCATTGTTTAATATGATTTCAAGTATATATACTATACTGAATGTAGTATTGTTTTTTATATGAGGTTCAAGAATACTTACTGTACTGAATGTAGTAGTATAAGTTCAAGTATACTATACTGAATGTAATAGTATTTTATATGAGTTCAAGAATACTTTAATAAATATAATGTATATATATATATATACGAAACATGTGTACCTGCACTTGCCACACGTGAATGGCGGGGTATTTCCCACCTTCCCCCGATGCTACGACGTCCAAAGTCGGATGCACCGCCAAGCACAGTACCTGCAATCACGTCAAATGAGACGAATAGTGACCAATATCGGGGGTTCGAATAGTGACATGTCTTCAGAAAATAGTGACATATCTTCGTACTTCGTCTTGATGTTGTTTAAAGTGTTTTTGGGACCATCCCTTGGCATCAAACACAACAACGACCTTGGCCACTGGATACACGATTTTGCCTAAATATATATACATAAATATATATTTAGAATTAGATTTATTTTTAGACGAGTAGTATTCAAATATATATATATATATA